AGGCGGAAAAATATTAAGCTACTTCATTACATGCCTTGCGATCAATAAGGCGTCGTCCTCTACAAAACGGCCTCCCCATTACAACTTAAAGAAGATAAAATGGGTTTCCACGCATGATATTGTTCTTGCGCCAATATCCACAAAAACTGATAACGGAGTGAAGTCCTATTAATACTGGCGAAGGAAGGTGAAGGAAATAAAATTCAAGATGGCGCTTTAGCATTGGACCAGAAAAACGACTAGCTACAACTGACTCCAAAATGACAGGCGATTCAACTATTGGTAATACTATTTTATACTGTTGTAAGTTTTACGGCTTTACTTTGTAAATGTTAAATGGCAATTTTTCTTTCATTAAGTTGTATAACGTGAGCTTTTATAATTTTTATAACCTATAAATACCACTGCATCACTGATATCATAATAGACGTATCGAGACAAGTGCACGACCGTAATACCACCATTTTCATATGAATCGCGCTAGTTACAATCGTCGCAAATCGTTTTGCTTCCGACATCCAACGTAACCCCACCCCAAACCAATGCAGGTGGGGAAGGGGCAACTTTGAAATCTTAAATCGAAGCGTCTCCCGAATTTTGACGCACAGTGTGCGTTGTTGGTTAGCTTTGGTTTTGGTGGGCCTGCTAAAGACGGATAACAGTAACTATTCATTAATGATTTAACTCCAGGAGCCAAGTTCACCACCTGAACAGACGTTAATAAACGGGAACCTTATTTTTCTTTATCACACATTCGGCTTATATGCAACCAAACCGTCAGCTGGTGACCGAAGTTTTCTTTACACAAATATACCAATGGGTGCTTTTTTTCGATGTATAGAACTTAAAGTTGGCATTACTGTTCAAGATGGCGACCGATTTAAGTGATTTATTCTGTTTGGTTTGGCAATTCATCATGAATTCATCAAGTAAGGCGTAGATTCGTCGAATATGCCCAAAACGAAATTGCCGTTGTTCCCGATTTTCATAAGCGAATTTTGTTTAGCGATGAAGCGCACTTCTGGTTGCATGGCTACGTCAACAAACAAAACTGCTGCATTTGGAGCGAAGCTAATCCTCAAATGTATGTCGAAACACCGTTACATCCAGAAAAACTGACTGTTTGGTGCGCTTTATGGGCTGGTGGAATCATCGGTCCGTACTTCTTCAAAAACGATGATGGCCAGAACGTTACAGTCAATGGTGATCGGTATAGAGCTATGATTACTAACTCTTTCATTCCTGAATTGAATAACCATGATGTCCAGGAGATGTGGTTTCAACAAGACACGTTTGGTGACCGCCTATTTGCACGTTTTGGACCTGTGAATTGGCCTCCAAGATCTTGTGATTTAACACCGCTAGACTACTTTCTGTGGGGCTATGTAAAGTCATTGGCCTATGCGGATAAGCCACAAACGCTTGACCATTTGGAAGACAACATTCGCCGTGTTATTGCCGATATACGGCCACAAATGTTGGAAAAAGTCATCGAAAATTGGACGTCCAGATTGTTGGACCACATCCGCGCCAGCCGTGGCGGTCATATGCCAAAAATCGTATTTAAAATGTACTGCCACAAGATTATCCTTCGGATAAATAAAATTCACGTCAATCGAATAATCCATCGTTGTTTTATTGCAACTTAAAGTTCTATACATGGAAAAAAAACTCCCCTTATTTCCCACTCTAAATTATCCACCAATCATTTATAAATGAGTGTCTGAAGAAGTTTACACTATAAAGATGTTTCTACGCGACCATTGGCGTACATTTTTGCAAAAGGAGTGACGCGTGACGTGAAAACATTTGATAGCTTCCGACCCGTGACTAAAGCAGCGGAAACTCGAATTGGCTGAAGACCGCGTTTAATAAAACTGACATTTTAAAGTGTGTGTTTTAGTGCATAATTGGGTACTTTAGAATGGGGAGTAGAAAAAATATGATAAAACGAGGGCCAGGTTTTTATTTAATTTTTAAAAGCATTGTTTTTTTGTTGTGTTCTTGTCAACGTAATTCTTGACATACCACCGTTTAAGTTTTTAAAAAGCCATCTCGTTGTCGCTTGAACATAATTCCCGGTAAGACAATTATCATATCGATCTACTTAGGTCTTTTATTAAAATGTTTTTTGATTCAAACAAAATGACACGTAACACAACTCGAACACGTAAAATCTTGTAACGATTTCGATGAAGTTGTCACTGTTATGTTTGCGATTTCAAGTAAATCAAATGACGCGAAGTAAACAGGCGCCCCCTCCCACCAGAGGCAATTTTTTTTTTCCGAAACGCCGATAAAATACGGTGTTCGGGCTAAAATGTTCTGCGTACGCGTTTATCGGTCTTGTTTTTTTTATTGTCTTTTTCAATTTTAAGCAGTCGGTATTGTTATTACTTAGTGTTCGACTTGTTCATTTTCATTTCATAAAACTCAAAACAATAATTAGTCAAGGTTAAATCGAGATCATTATGAAAATTTCTCGTATAACTAACTATACGTAAAAAAGTATAAGTATATTCCCCAAATTTCCCTTTAATTTGGTTTTTTTTTGTATAATGATTTGAACTGTCCACCAATTAGTCCGTTTTTTTCCGTTAATTTTCACGTAACCAAAAACTAGAGAAAACCGAGACGAGCTTGCATTCCCGCGCGAGATTAAAAATAAATGGCTCGTCAGGTCTCGTGGTTTCGCCAAAAATCCTTACTCACGGTGCATAGTACAGCGAATAAAGTTTCGATACAAACCGAAAATGTTACGAGGAGGGCCCGCCATTGACGTCATCCGCCCGACACAAAAATGTGAGACGGTGACGATTCTATTATCGTGGGCGTATATTTTTGTTTGGAAATTTTTGTTGCCTATGACATTTCCAATTGTATATCTTGACAATCGGCTACAGGCAAAAAAAGCTTTTATAAATCATCAAGCATTATTTATATCATGGCCGCATTGTTTGCGATATCGCCTAATTATATGGCTCCGATTTTTTTTATCAACACTGAGAATACAGAACGAATCGCGCCTATATTAAACTATTTGCGAGAAATAAAAAGGGAAACTTCCTCAAACGGCAATAATAATAGGCGATAAAAAAAAGATTACTCTAGAAATATTTTCGCAAATGGACATTTCCGGTGTTTTGGTCACGTTGATGAACTTCTTCGGTCTCTCGTTTATTAATTCCAGATCTTTTTTGTTAAGCGTATAATATTGTTACGTAAAACAGTTCAAACCACCCGTTAATTAAAGCAACCCCTTTAATTATAGCCATTAATGTCAAATAACTACCAGGATGAGCTAAAACAAAACCTTCTATTGACTGTTCGTGTAAATTCTATATTAGTATTACATATATAGTGTGCCCACTTAAGAACTGTACACAATTGTAAAATCTTTGTTTATGGTTGGATTTTTAGTTTTTTTTTTTTGCTGAATAAATCTCCCAAAGTATAATTAGGGTTTTTTAAAAATAAATTGGCAACGAATTCTTATTCAGGAGTAACTTAGAACCCAACTAGACCAATTTTTATAATTTTTCAATACAGGGTGTTTGAAATAACGTTTGCGCCCCGCTTATGGCTGTATGTACTTGTAAAATCTTTGATTATGGTTTGATTTTGATAACTTCTTTTGTTGGATATCTTATGTTCCCACAAAAAAAAAAGTTATCAAAATCAAACTGCAATCAAAGATTTTAAAATTATGTGGGGCATAAACGATATAAAAACATTATACAAATTGGTATAGTTGGTATCCAAGTAAATTCGCTGCCAATTTATTTATTTTTTAATCCCTAATAGTACTTCTCTCTTCTCTCTCTTTTGTTAAATGGTCCCAGTTGGCCACGACTTTAAGTTGAAGCAATAAACAAAAGAAGGTTTTAGCGCATTTTTCACAGATCTATGAAACAAAAAAAATCAAAATCGACCCATAAACAAAGAGTCCACAAGAGTGTACATTTCTTAAGTGGGACACGCTGTATATGTGTTATACATATTATTATGAAGTGGGCGCGATGTTTTTTTTTTTCTGCGTGCTTGTTGATCATCACCAAAAGCCATGAATTAAATCATACTCAACACCAGTTTAATTAAAAAATGTTGGTAATTGATATGTAATCGAATTTCCAACGACTGGTTCATTAACAACGACAACAAATTGTTAACACGATCTAGTCAATTAAATCTCAATTAAATTAAATCGTCCGCGAAGATAACGCAGCCATCAAAATTCAATAATGGATGTTTTTAAGTTAAACTGGAAAAAACGGCCTTTAAAGTTCACGTTTGGTTATTTGTATCCTTTTTTTTTCTTTTCTAGGAAAAATCTGTTTTTTTTTGTTTTTAACGAGGAAATAATTTAACGGAATTTGAATTGCTTTATCGTAACCCACACGCTCGAGAAATCATGTTTGTTTGCTCGGGTACTCGAAACCCTTTACTATGAGTGTCTAGTAGCGCGGTTAAACTATATAAATGAAGTGTTTGCTGAATCTAAATAGGAAGGAAGTTCGAGCGGGCCATTCTCGACGAATTTCCCTAGATCTAGGAACTTTTAACCCAGTGCCGGCAACAGCGCAACGCGAAGGATAATTGCTTCGAGGGCATTATGGGAGCCTTTTAACGGAATCCGTCGAGTGCAACGCGATATGAATTATAAACCTACATTCGCAATTCGGCAACATGCTCAACTTTTTTATTCGTCTAGTCCTTACTTTTTTTACTCGTACGATTCCCCGACCTTGCTAGTCACTTTTAAAAGGAAAATTGTCACGAGAACCGGCGACATTAGATATAGAACCGCGACGACCCCTTTATTACGTAACGACAAAAAAAACCGTTTGGTGACGTCTCGAAAAGGAGCAGGGCCTACTCTTCGTTCGCGGCCGCCTAATTGGCATTTCAAGGTTATCCGTATGCTGTGCCGGCCTCGGTTACCGGCGCTCAATTTTCGCCCAAATAAGACACAGAGTCGTCCGCTCGCCGTACACTCTTACCTCCTTATTGTTCTGCACGATAACGTCGAACGAGCACAACTGATAGACGATCAGAGCCCTGACGAGTTCCCAGTTGGTTTTGCTCTTGAACGCAGCCCTAGCGTCTTCGAAACTCGTATCTAACGGGTCCTTGGGTCCTACGGGATTCTGCTGGTTGATTTCCTGTTTCTGCCGGTCCTGGACTAGGCCGGCGGCGGCGGCCGCGGTCGATTTCGCCGCATCGATCTTAACCGCGAGGCCGTTGTTGGAATTATCGATCAGCAACCCGTATTTTTTGTAAACACTGCACCTGATCACCGTGCGAAGAAAAGCCATTTACGGTATATAACAAAAAAACTGCCGGACGGGCGCTGAAATCCCGGTGTATAGTCGAAATCTGAACCCCTAGAAAGCGGTCGCAACGCGGATCGATCGTCGTCGGGCGAATTCACCTTCCGTGTCTCCGGGGAACACGACTATACGACGCCGGGATGGTTTTCGTTGTGTGGCGCGCACTCGATACGCGCCGGCCCGTTCAAAGGTGGGATTTGTCGGCAAATTTGCCGCGCCGCGCCGGTTTGCTTCGAAGAAAATGCCCTTCGTTATTTTTCCGACCTCTTCTGGAAGCGAAACGATTTCTGCGACGCCCGTTTCTGATTATTTTTAACGTTTAACTTACAATTGACTTACAATTGACGATGACAGAAAAGACCATAGATTAAAATAGATGTGACAACCGCGAATATATTTCAAGTTACAGAGATTAAAAACTAATCTACAAAAGTAATGTTTAATCGTTTCCAACGACGACGTTGCGCCTTATTTTGGTTGCCTATTTACTCGCATAACCGAACACAGAACAAGTCGTATAATGGCGTCATTGTGCTTAATTTTAATGAGATTTAAACTGTTTATATTATTTTTTTTAAATTATTGTTTATATGCCGTTCGACTGCCTAGCGTGACTATAATTTAGTCAATTAAGTTTAATAATTTCCCATCAGATTTTGTCAAACAATTTGAAATGTTAAGTGGTCTGTGACTGTAAAATCTAGAAATTTAGGCTTTTTGACAGTACCGATTTTAAAATGCCAGTGATGAGAGATAGTGGCGACAAAATGCTTTTAGATAACTTTTAGTGTAGTTGTAACCCAAAATTGATCGATTATTATTATTGTGTAGGTATGTTAATCACTACAATTTAAATAACTTTAGGGCAGCTTTGTCCAAATTTTATTTGACTGAGCAAGTAACTTAACCTAAGATACATCCAATGAATAATATACGTTAACGGGCAAAGTAAGCAAGATACTTTAGAAAATATCGCAAGCTCAAACGACAACGTTTTATTTCAGCAAGAGGCAACACAAAATATAAAAAATATATAACAAGGTAATAGCAAGTATTTAACAAGTTAATTATTATTGCTTTAAAGTCCACGAAAACCCATAGGCATGGAACGACTTCGAATTATTTTAAAAATTTCTTCATTTCTCTGTTCTGGTAAGCCATACTGTATTGTGCTTTTTCAGTCTGTTCTATTAGGGAGTCCAAAACGTCCACGTGCCTGTCAATAGCTTTGGCCAGGTCGCTTGTTTTGTCGGTCTTGGACCGCGGCTGCTCTTCCTCCATGTTGAGCGCAGGATTGTCGCTACATACGTTTTCGCACTGCTTATTCAATGCAGAAGTGCCGGAGTCACTAGAATTCGTTTTATCCGCCGCCTTTGTTTTGAATAAGTTTAAGACGAAACCATAAGTCTGAAAAATTATTTAACTTTTCCTTAATTAGGCGGGCTGTTATTTTTGTGCGACTTTTTAAAAGCACGGTCTGTAGCTGGCAATGCAATCGTAGGCGAATTTCATTAAAAAAAGTAACCCTTTTTTTTTATTTAGTTCTACCTGTTTTTGAAATGAATCTTATGGCCTTAACATTAATTTACCATTTGCCAAGTTATTATTGTTCTTTATAGCATATAATTCCATTGCGACCTCTAAATTCAAGAAGTTGAGTTTAAATGTAACAGACGAAACTGACGCATATTTAATTTTAGCGAGTTCATTTTAATGTTAATGGTTTTATGGAGTTGCATGGCCATTTGGAGTCAGTAAAAAACCATTTAACATCTTTCTTTAAATTTTAAATTAATGTTAATTTTAATAACCGTACTGATCATACTGGTAAATAATGTGCAATCTCGATGTGATAATTAGTTCCACTGCTGTTGATTTAGATAATAATTTCTAATAGTGAGGTTATGCTTCATCGGTTGGGCAAAAAATACGAAATAAAGGGGTAAAATCATTCATTCGCATTTACCTTAAAATTGTGTATTTTTCGTTGCGTCGATTTTAAAATGCTGTTCAGCTCGTCAAGCCTTCCTCCGATTTGGGAATACGATTCGTTTTGGGTATCGGCGTCCTGCCGACGATCATCCAATTGAAATTAAAACAGGTGTAATTAATTTTTTTACGCATTTACCTCGAGATTTATAACTTCCATTTGGTCTTCTTCAGCGGCATCCCTGGCGGCCTTATTTATCGTGAATTCTTCGTAATCTGGTCTCTCGAGGCCCAGCAGTTCGGCCCTCATGCACTCGTACTCGTAGGTGCCCTCCGCCGCCATTTAAAACATGTATTTCTAATAAAGTCAAAGGGAAATATGTTGCGGCATTGTTGCTCAACTCTAGTTACTATCATATGGATTTTACGGGTGGTAGCGGTGAATGCCGTGGTATGGATTTTTATCAGGCGAAGGATTGGGAAATAGGTAACTGTTACTGGGGGCTTTTAAATTGGTCCAATAGATGGCGGCAGTGTTACCGCTCAGTGAGTACCAAACAAGAACAGTAAACAAGAGATTAATTAGTTTAAATTGTCTTGTATTAAGAGCCAGAAGCCAACATCAAACATAACTAACCTCTCTGGTCACCGCCTTTGGGTACGGAATGTGTTCATTAACGGTCTGTGCTAAATTTTCATGCCGTACTTTCGTAATAGTTCCGGTTTTCGGTGTAGGTGGAGCGCCAGTCGCGTCTATTTTACAAATTTGACTAGGGATATTCCGGTACTAGTAAATACGAGTAGGTACTCGATACCTTTGATTCGATACCAAGTATTTATAGCATCGAATCAATCTTGCGATACTGACTTGGTATCGAAACAAAAGTGCTTGGTATCAAATCGAATCAGCATCACCAATAAAAAAAAAACCGAACGCATCAGACAAACATAATCTTTTTTTTTCATTTTTCATTGTCAACCAACATAAATTGTCAAACATACGAGAGATTGCTTACGAATAATTGTATTTATTGTAATCATCAGCTTATTATTCCAATGTTATCATGGAGTATTTTGATTAAAGTATTAAAGTTTTAATTATTGTGCTTCAAAGTTCATTGTTAGTTTCCTTAAAATAAATTAAAAAATAATAAAGTGCTAAAAGTATCGATATGAGTAAGTATCGATACTTTAGGAGTATTTATTTGAGTAGTATCGAAAAAAGATTTGAGTACTATCGAAATGAGTAGGTATCGATACTTTAATGGTATCGGAACATCCCTAAACTTGAGGAGTTTCACACAACGTGTTTACATATTTTTGTAATCGCGAAAGTTGGAATGGCGTTTAATGGGGCGTCGCGGGAGGGGGCTCAAAAATAAACAAAAGTCCAACTGATAGTCATTTATTTCAACAAAATAACAAGTCATTTATCCGAAAGTAGTTACAAACTAAAAAAATTGACGTGTATATTCATTATTCTGGAAGCATTTTGTATTACAGTGTAGAAAAATCATCAGTTCGTCAAAAATCTTGAGACGCCGAAAGCGCAGAGACTTAAATTATGTACCTTGTAAAACGGATAAAAATTAAAAAAATTCACAAATATTTACAAATTACGTCTTAGTCATATTTATAATGTATTTTTAATGTACTTATTTACACATTTCCCACGAACTAATATAACATGTACACGTTGTCAATTTGAAAAAAAAACCTTACCGGATCCTGCTTCTTTTTCGCTCTCTCCCAGACAAAAAAAAATATTGCTAATTGCACTTAGAAAGCAACACACTGAATTCCTATGTCCAAGGGGGAGGCGTTCCTAAATCTCAAATGCACAAGAAATTGTAATGGGATAAAAATTAATATTTTCTTTAATCGCGCGGCAAGGATTCGAAGAAATCCATTTTTTCTGTCTTATCCTTCGGTCGTCGCACGATTCCCGTAAATCTAATTGCGGCTTAACACTTAGGATTCTCTTTTACAAATTATTTACATCTCTCCTTAACAATGGTACCCATTAAAAATAGTTTTATCTACATGTATTCAGAATATAAGTAAATAAAAAAAAATCCATCCGGCCTTTCCTCCCGCTTCCGCGTAGTAAAATTTAACGCGAAACCCTAGCTGCCACACCGCGTGCGGTGAAAATTAATTGCCGCAATCAGATCTTTAATTTATTGAACTTAATCGGTTGTTAAATAAAAAAAGTTTTTTACTTTAATTATTTTTTGTAAAACCAACCAATTATAACTAAAACTGGAGGTCTGATGTAATTAAATTTGTTTCCTTAATTTAATGACTTTTAATAATTGTATTTCGATAAGATTTTGATCTAGTTATAGGTGCGGTAGCCGAAAAACGTCGGATTTTACAGAAAAAAACTTTTTCAATTATCACTGGGTTGTTGCAAGCAAGTTAATCGAGCATGTGGGGCGGGAGAAAATCCGGCTCTACCTCACTGGTTTTACACTACCATTTACGTAAAAATATATAGAAAACGTTTTTAATTTTCAAATCGCCACCGAAAAAGAAAATATATGTATGTATATTTATATAGTCCGTCGCAAATATATCGCAAAAACCTTAACCTAAAAATATCACCTTACACACATACGAGAGAAAAAAAGCGCCGCTTAACACCGCCGGAAGCGACGCGTCTCTTTTAACCGCTAATCCTCGTCGGAGAGCGGCTCGTACTGCGCAGACAGCAGCGGTTTCGGCTCGTTGTTACGCGCACCGTCGTACGAGTAGGCGTAACCGCCTTGCTGTTGCTGCTGCTGCTGCGCGTAATCGTTTTCGTGCTTCTCCTCGTCGATCACCATGTCGCCCGGACTGTCGCTCCGCTCTTTGTCCTGGTGGTGGTGCTGCGCGTGAACGTCCTGCGCCTCCTTCTTGTCCTCCTCGGTGCGCATCACCTCCGCGATCCGATTCTTCACGTAGTCGAGCGGCGATATGTGCGATTGGGGCTGCGCGTACCGTCTGTAATTCTGCTGCTGCTGCTCCGACCAATGATGGTTGTTGTCGGGCGGCGACACTGGCTCCACGTGGTACTTTTGCGCCTGCGCGATTCTGATGATTTGACGCTCGTCCTGTTGCTGCTGCTGCTGCGGCGTCGCGGCGCGTTTGCTCTCCTCTTTGTGCTGCTGCATTCGCCGTTTCCACTGCTCGTTAACGTTCTCCTGCTGCTGCTGCTGCTGTTGCAGGTGGTAGTACGCGCCAGGTCTCGCGCCGAAATCGTGGCTTATGACCGAATCGGTCAGCTCTTTTACGGTCAGGTTTTTGTTGATGACGTCGGCGCCGTCGAGGTCGACGCTTATGACCGACGAGGGACGCTGCTCCCCGTTGTTATCCTGATTCGGCGGATCGCGGTGGAACCCCTGGAACAGGAGGTCGCCCGCGCGGGGCGGTTCCCTCGAGTTCGCGATCACCTCGCCGCCCCGCCCACCTTCGGCCGTCTGATTGATCTGGTGCGTGATTATTGCGTCGATCAAGCTCGCGGCCGTCATGGTGCTCGGGTCGGAACGGGCCGCTTGCCGCTGCTGGTGTTGCTGATGGTGGTACGCGGCCGCCCGTCTCTGCTCCTCGATACGCTGCTGCTGATGCCTGATCTGCTGTTGCTGTTGCTGCTGCTGCTGGATTATCTGGAATCGGTGCGGCTGCTCCATGATGTTGTCCGCGATCGTTTTGCCGAGACCCTCGTGCGGTGCCGCGTTCGGTACCGGCAGGTTCGGTTGCTGCACCGCTACGTCCACCAGCGACGAGAGCGCCTCGTGCCCGGGCGGCAGGTACTGCGGCCTCGTGTGCCGTTGAATCACGCCCTGCCGTTGCTGCTGGCCTTGCTGCTGTTGCTGCTGCGGCGGGGGCGGCGTGCGGTGCACCGGGTAGTACTGCGGCTTCTCCGGTCGTCTTCCGAGCATCTGCTGCGACGTTATGTAATCGTTGATGATGATTTGGCGCGTCGAGCTCATCTGCGACGTCATCTGTTGCTCGTACGCGCTAGGTTGGCGGTACTGGTACTGAGGCTGCGGCTGCTGTTGTTGCTGCTGTTGCTGCGACATCCTGCCGGGTTTGTTGTAGTAGTCGTACACCCGCTTGTCCTGCTGCTGCTGTTGCTGCTGCAGCGGTATATGTATCGGGGTCCCTTTCGTGATGGAACCCATCTTCGTGTCGGGGATTTGCCTCAATAGACCGTCGTACCGCGGCTGATTGATGATGGGCGTGCCCAGCGTGATCGAACCGGTCTTGGGATTCGCGGGTTGAGGGCTCGGCAGTTTCGCTTGCGTGGCCCGCATAAACGCGGGACTCTTGCGCTCCTGGTGGTAAATGTACGCGGTGGCCGCCGCATGCATCGGCTGCTGCTGTTGCTGCGGGTGCTTCGAGTGGGCGGGAGGCGGCGGCGGCGGTTCTCTCGGCTTTTTGATGCTGAGATCGAGAGTTTCGGGTATCGAGTCGCGTGCGTCCGTCACCTGCACGACGACCAGATCGTCTCGCGGCTCCGGCGGTTGCTGTTGCTGCGCGGAATGCATCGGCCCCGACACGGGGGTGATGGTCGCCCCGATCGTGTTCGCCAACTTGGTGAGGCTGATGTCGGCCGCGGTCGTGGTCCTCGCGGGCTGCGTTCTAGCCACACCCCCCAGGTTGTACTCGCTAACTATAGTCACCTCGTTCGAGTCGTTGTTGAGGATCGACGATATGGTGGGCGCGATCGCGCCCCCGCCTCCCGCCACATTCTGCGGATTCTTGTTTAGCGATTTCTCGATCACGTTCATGAGCAGTTCGTTCATGACTAGCTCTTTGACGCTCAGCGGACTCGTGTTCGGGCGCGCCTGGTAATCGTTCGACACGGGCGTGATGGTCGCCTGGTAATGGTCGGGCGTTTGCGCTTCGTCCGCGGTCTCGGTCGCGCTCGAGTCGTAGTCCTCTTTTTTCGTAGCCCCCTGCCCTTGACCTTGGGAGACGGGCGGGCTCTCGGCCGCGCTCGTCGTGTCGCTCGAGTGGCGCTCGCGCAGCGGCTCCTCGCAGCTTGACGTGCTCGATCCGGACTCTTCTTCGTCGGTCAGGGTGGGTTTGCGATCGCCTAGGCACCCCTCCAGGTTCAGACGTTTGCGGTTCGCCGCGTAGAAGCTGCGCACCTGGTGCGGCGGTTTGTCGAGCCGTTCGCCGACGGATTGCCAATTGGCCCCGAGTTCGGTGAGTGCCGTCTTCAGTCGGTTTACGTCGTCGTCGGGCCACTCCTCCGCGGGACCGAGACGTCTCTGCACGCGGTTGAAACACGCGGAACAGCACTTGGTGACGCCACTCGGGATGCGAAACTCGGCGAGGATGGGGTCGCGCACGTCGGCCGGCAATTCCTGCAAACGGTACGGGAAGGAGCGCAGGCGCTTGACTCTGCCGCGGGCGTTCGGGCAATTCGGCAGGGGACAGTGGGTGTAACGCGAGCGCACGCACTTGCAGCGGCACGTGTTGCAGACGCGCGCGTTCGCGGCGACCTGGTCCTCGCGCAGGCCGTACTGCGCAGCGTGGCTCGGCTGGAGGGGACGCGAGTGCAGTTGCGGTTCGAGGCGGACGTGGCAGACGGCGCAGCTGCCGGCCGCACCTCTATTGTCTGAAAACGGAACAAAAACGTCATTTAGTTGATGGTTTTTGTGTTTTTGCGTTTTTTTGTGCTCACGGAGTAATAGGATATTATACAACAAGTGCGGTAAACGGCATTTGACTCACGAGTTTATTTGATACGAGCGGAGCGAGTTTTTAATAAACGAGTGAGTTAAAAAGTTTACCGAACGTGTTGCATACTAAACTTTTTCTACGACTGTTAGTTTTTGGGTACATTCTCGCAAAACAACACGAATACATTCACTGACATGTCCGTCAAAATTCAAAACGTGGGAAATATCTCCAAAAACATCCGATTGCTCCCAAATCCGTGCGGTAAAATCCCGGAAATGTCCGAAGTGGCTCGCATTCATGGGAAACGAAACTGACGTGGTAAAGTGACGCTTCCGGCACGTTAGATCGGTGGGTAGTTCGGTATTTTACAGACGGGAGTAGGAAAATAAGTTTTCCTCCCAGTTCTGATATTATTAATGAAATGGTAAATGTGTATTCAAGAATTATACAGGGTGTTAATTTTATATTTTGTTCGGTCCAAATCGACAAAAAGTCTATATTGTTCGGAAACTATATTACACGAAACAAATCTTTGCAAAATTATACTCATTTACTTTATTTAACAACCTCTATGTCTGTTAGATGGATTAGGATTGTATAATGTACCGTGTGGCTCATTAATAAAGGACTTCGTTAGTCCTACAACTACTACAAAATTATAGGTAAATCGGCCAACAAAAAGTGCTGGAAATTATTTTTAGGTTCATAGAATGGCCGCTAGGGGGCGTAACCGCTACCGTAAAATAGAAAAACGGGTTTTGTCAAACATTTTATGAACCTGAAATAATTCGTAGTCGTAGGACTAACGGATCCTGAGATATGATCGGAGTCCTTCATTAATGGGCCACCTGGGTCTAGCTTACGATGAGTAAAATCGAAAAAATTTCGGTAGGGAGTCAAATTTGTCACAGTTAGCTTATTCAGCAACCAAATTGATATCGCTGCAAGGTTGTTAATTTTTCAGCCACTTTAGTATTCACCATCAACTAAGTAAAAACAATCAAAATATACAGTCGACAAATTTTGTAGTTCGGGATTATTGTAAAATCTGGAATAATCGGTTCCGGCGGCGACGTCGATCGGACGAGTCGCGTCGAATATTGCGCCTCGGGCAATTACAAAAATGAAAAATCCCATAAAGGGTCTTTCGAAAGGGAGGGGGAGGGGCCGTGTTACCCCCGGGAGATTCGGCAAAACAAACATTAATATAGACTTGCTAAAACAAACGCGCGCGCCCTGAGCGTTCAACTCGAGAGATTTTCTGCATGAATTTTGATAGTATGGCGGCTTATTTCCTCGGGGACTTTTCAACGCGATTGTTCCCTCGTATATAGGGCGATAAACGCTTCGGTCCATCCCATTTGTTTACGCGTATAGACATAAGCAAAATTACCAGTGGAAGAATTGGATAATACAAGGTTCAATTTCATTCGTATTCATATATTGTATTAAACATAGACGTCCAACGAGACCACAAAAGTATTCGTTACATTCATTCTTCGATGGAGGGGGGGGGGGGTAAAGTGTGTTATTATGAATGGTTGCTATGGTAACCACGTAAGGTATGAGAACATAATTCTCAAGAAGGGCAGTGAATCGTTGGAGTATGAGATTATAATGTAAATATTAAAAAATTCATAATTATATTATGGATAATTACATTTTATCACAAATACACAGAACACGAAATGAATATGATTACATACATATGTAATGACATTTCAGAATTCAAACCGCCAAGTTCTTTGCAAACTTCACGGTAATAAGGCATTTTTGCTGTTAATCTTTGTTAATAGCAACTTCCAGAAACACATTTTCACATTCAAAAAGTCACTTTTTTCACAAAAAAATAAACAAAAGCAGACTTAGTTAAAAGAGGCTTGAAAACTCCTCTACCTTAGTTTAAACATTAAAAAAAGGAGCATTTCTCACAAACCATATCGCTGTTATTGTTCTTTTATCAGTAATGCTGACTAAATATTATCAAGACATTTTGTTTGCGTATATTGAGTTACATAAACTTTTGCGAAAAAAACCCAGACGATGTCTAGCAATTGGTGTGCGTGTGGTATTAACTAAGCTGTCGACTATCCCTAACGCAGTAGTGAACCTAACCATAAAAATTACCGTGTTCATGTAAACAAATAATATACACAAAACTAGCACAAAAATATACTGCCAAGTCGTTACAAAATAAAAATTTGACGTTGCAATGCAATCTAAATGTACTAGTAGTACCGATTTGTTGCTGTTACGCTTCTCAGTAATCGAGACGAGGCCTTGAGATTAAAATCACAGATTCCTAATCAAAGGCAAGAATTTAATTTCACTACTCGTGGTGGGCAGCGGCAGCATAGACTCCAAGAAAGGTAGGTTCTAAACAAAAAAAAGTTCCCCCGCCCGTGTATAGATGGCAGCACAGATTCCTGACCAAAGAAGTTTCTACATATACCGGCACAAGTGAGAAATTTTAATTTTAGGGGCATCGAGTATTCTTGAAACAACTAAATTAAACACTATCGGATCGTTTTTCGCCCGTGTCCGCACCATTTGTCAATACTTTTTTCCTATTTTTTCTATTACTTATTCCTTCCTCTAATGTTGAAGGTATATTTTTGATCCGTTTGTCGGAAGTCCTTCTTGTAGCTTTCTCTTGGCGCTAGAGTACTCCGCCCTCCGTGATAATATTAAAATGCACGTTTTCTTATGAGCGCAGATTTAAATAACTTTTTCTACTCCATACTCTAAAATACCCTATTATACACGGATTGAGCGTGCGGAGTGTCACTTTACTAAAATACTATTAACTTAGTTAACTATTTAATCCTACGCAACATTTATTAAAACATTTTTTTAAAATTTGGATAAATATGGGGTTGAGATGATTTTACGACTGTGTAAACAGGAGAGTTGATAATCGATGCCGAGCCACAGAATCCAGAATTTACACCTTACATCTCTAATAATTTCCAAATTAGAGATATTAAGCGTTCCATCACAAAATACACTTTACCAAAACCTCCCTGTGGTCCTTCCTTACATTCAAAACATTACTGACCACGTACCAAAAGTTTTTAAGAAATATAACGTTAAAATCAGATTTACCAAAAATCTCTCAACATTTTCGATCCAAGATAAAATTCCGTTGAAAATATAAGGGAGTCTACGGCATTCCATGCATATGCGACAAAGAGAGGCATTGAGAGACAGGACGAAAAATATCAACCAGCCTCAAAAACACGAAAGATCGTTAAGACTAAGTGAAATGAACTCATCGGCTGTTGCCGAACACACTCATGAAACCGGACATAACATTTTTTTAGATTAAACTAAAATTCTTGCATGTATGAAATAAATAATAAAATGAAATAATGAAATTTTTGTTTTAATTTCGATGATCAGGAACATATTTCACCATACCTTTGATATGATATAACACGTCATTCAGCGAGAACCTACAATAAATCAGCTAAATGTCAGTACCGTGTCATATACATTTCCAAAATTTATCTATAAATTCTTAATATTTTTTTCGCAATAAGTTATTGAAAATAATTACCTCATAAATTCTTATTTCTATGATGCAACAAAAAAAAGATACTTTTTTGGTTAATGTTTCAAGTTAACCGAATTGCGATCTTTAAAATTTAACGAATTTTTGAATTTGCTTCTACTTTGAGATTTATAAAACGTCTAGTGAATCATATTGAAAATACGTCATCTAAGTACGGTTTACAAACATGGAGTTGATGAAATAGTGCAAAGAGTCTATATGATTTTAGAACGCAAATTTATTTTATTTCAGTACGTAACTAACGTGGATAAATGAGTATACCGTACCGTATTTCTGTCAAGGTTTATACTTACTAGTTGAAATTGAGACCGGAAAACTAATTTTGAATTATTTAGTTATGTGTGATCGTTGGATTAACAATTTAGTTGAATTTATGTTAATATAAATTAATAGTATACTTTGCAAAAAGTATGATAAACACTATTTTAGTCACTACAGTAACGCATAAGTCCTTAGCCATAGGTTAAGGATGCTGATGACGTGGCACTTTTTGCTCGCTTGTACTTTAGTGGACTTGGTATAAAATATACACATCCATATTTTTTATTTGCATTAGTGGGGTCCACTATATGGACAGAATATTTTTGAACTGCATTTAATTATTTTCATATAAAAATAAAATTGATTTTCTCACATTACTTTTGATATTGTCTTTTGTATGTAAAATGCATCCAGTTCCGGATACGAAGGAAAAAAATATGGCGCAATTTCGCTTCAAAAACAATTCAATTATATTAAGAACGCCTGTTCGATAAATTTTATAAAATTAATAAATAATCATAATAAACAATATTTGAAATAAATGGATGCAGATAAAATAAGTACAACAATTATGTTTTCCTAATTTATTTCAAACGGGAGACTATAATAATAGTTAACAATTCCTAATTATAGAAAATTCGAAATTTGTTTCTCGTTCTTGACGCTTGTAGTAAAATCCTTCCCGGCTTTTATTTTTCCAGTAGAAGAGATGAATAATATGCATAAAAAATGTAAACAGTCTAGTGTCAAAATCTTAGAAGTTTTAAGGAAAAAGTAATAGTTAGCACGGAATTACCCCCCATATATCGAAGCTTTCTTTTCGATGTTCATTTTCGGTGAACATCCCTAGCGTGGACACTGGTAAAGTGTCCGTATTATCGTGCGGTGTTGCCGCATTTAACGCGAATACGGCCGATTCGGCGATCTATCGATAAAAAAAAACGAACCGCATTTAGGGAGTCCGGTTTTTGAAACCGCCGACGTACGCAAATCCGCTCCCCGCTTCGGGCTCCACAATTAGCGAAACGTGCCGGTCCGCGATGATCATCCCCTACCCGTTCCCCCCTGGCGGGGTTTAAAATTTGACGCGAAATCAGCGA